AATTACTTAACAGGTTATAACTGTTATCGGCGAAATAAAACAAATATTTTTTATGTAATAACTGTTATGGAACAATGTTTTTCCGATGAACACAGAGATACACTCGGAGGTTTGCCATTACCTGCCGGGGGACGACCGCTGTTAAGAAAGAAACCTTTTTTTCTATATTTTTGCGATGTTGCTTTCACCAGGGTTTGAACCCAGGTGCTGCGTAGTGGAAGCGCGCACTGCTTACCACTATACCACAGCGGCCTGGTGCAAATACATACATATTTAAATTATTTGAGGGGATAGTTTGGATACATTTTTCAATCCATTACGTACACTTTATGACTTAAGACCATGGAAAAACTGCAAAATGGCAGAAGAAATTGCCTACCTAACGTGTTAATCGATTGGTAAATGGAATAACTTCTTTTTTTTTTTTTTTTTTAAATATGAGCAAATAATGTTACTCATGTACGTACCTATGTACGTGATGACCGCGCTTTATCAATTTAATTGGAAAAGAATAACAATGCTTGAAACAAACTTTTTTCAATCGCAAGTTTTTTGTACACATGAGAAAATCCTAAAGAATTCGATAAGATACATCATGCAACACTGCTTGAGAATAGCTCGATTTTAGGCGCCATCGTGTGGGAAAAAGAGGAATAGCAGTAATGTGGATTGTGTGGCTGTGAGAGCATCACTGCTGATTCTAGTGCAAGGAGGAAGCTCTATTTTAAATTATTAATAAACACAACGGCAAGCATCCGAACTCGTTCACCTAGCTTCTGTGAAATTTTCATTAAGTCTCCGCTCCAGTTCATAGGTTCAAATCGACACAAAATCATGTTGCAAACTTCATTTTCAAGCACGATTGGACAACTGGTGTTCAAACTTCAATCGGTCGAACTTTAAATTATAGTTTATTCCGGATGATACTCGTCATACATGTACCAAAATATTCGCTGGTATCAAGTAGATGCGCGCTAAAAATTTAAATGCAAAGTCGATTTATTTGGAAATATGTAGCAACTTTCTTAAAACGAAAATATTAGCCTATGATTATATAACTTAGGTGTAAATTGGACCAGGAGTGCAACCAGGTTAATTGCACAATGAAAGCGAACAAAATGCGAAACTGCATAACTTTTTTAAACTTTCAAAATAATTAATTTCTAATAATCACAAAATGCAATGAGCCGAGCTAACTGGCGAACCAAAACAAAAACAAATCAACGCAAACACTTCACATGCTCCAATTAATTATGAAATTTATATAATTGACCGGTGAGGCAAAAAATCGCATGGCATATTTACGGCAAACGCAGTCAAAGCAAGAGCTTGCCAACGAGAGCGAGAGAGAGTTCTCATGAAATGAGATTGCGAAAAACAACGTAAATCAAGAAAGGAAATTTTTTAGAACGAGTATGTAGTTTCTTTTGCGCGATTCGAGTGCTTAGCTTTCGAATATAAAAGCTTGGAAATAGGCGCTTTTAATAATAAATTTAATAAATTTTAGTTTTTCGAATTAGTTAGCTGTCATAAGTACTATACGTGCATAAGAAGAGAATGTCTTATGTTTGGACTTACAGTTCGACTGAAAGCAAGCCATAAGTACAAGATCACTCACCTTCAAAGGCAGCGAGTGTGCATTATTTGCAATTAAACAACACTCGTACATTAGTGTTGCCGCATAAACTTATTTTGTGTTTTTTTAACAAAATGCCCACAGAAAATCTATCAAAATTCTACCAAGGGTTCAAAATCTCTGCAACAAAGAAAATTCACAATATTTTGAAATCCTACCTAAAGAAAGGCAGGGTTAAATGCTTTCCATGCGTCTGAAAGAACCCTTGAAGAAGGTTGCGACCGATCGCGATGAAAATGGATCACATTCGCTCAAAAAATTCTGCTCCATGAAAGAGGAAGCATCACAAACGGTGACGAAGTAAGATTGCCTATTTGCGCGATTCTCAATCACCACCGAAGTTTTCTTTCTCCGGATTTATATTCTTACGTTAGTGAATCCTTAAAATATAAAGGAAAAAGATTTCTGCTTGGTCTTGGTAGGAATTTAGATTTTAAATTTCTGAACATATTTAGGCATTGGAATATAATGTGCACGGTGCTCGGCTAGAGTGGCTGCCACTGCGTAGAGCACATGGGTTGGAAAAGCCCGTTGTGATACTACTGGCCGGGGCCATTTATTTCTTTCCCTCCTTTAGTAATTGAACCACCGAGTGCGTTCTATATAGAAAGTATTTGTTGAAGAATCGGCAGAATGGCAGAGATGATGTTCGATGCTCTCCACCTCTTCCTTTTCTGTGCAACTGCGACAAAAATCGTTGGTGGGGTATCTTAACCGTTTTTCAGTGTGTGCCACTTAAGCAGTACACGGTAATTATCCCGACTACTAATCTGAGATGCTAGCAGTCCACGCGAGTGAGAGCTGTGAATCGATTTGCATCAATCTTTGACCAAATTCGTCTGGTAGCATGGCAGTTGGTTTCCACAGCCCGCCTGATATTTATCTCCTCTATAAGTTCGGCATTTAGTCTGTGTTTGCAGGAGGTTAGAGGTAGGCCCGCATTTCGGGCAGATTTGATTTCGAGTATTTCCGTCCCCCTTCTTGCTATAGCTCGTCGGCTAAGTAGTTGTCAGTAATATCCCTGTGCCCATGGACCCATATAAAAGTCATGGAGCTTTGGACTTTGTTCCATTCGATTTATGAGATTTTATAGCAGCCCGGCTGTCAGAGTTAAAAACGATAGGCCGTCCAAAAGCGGCGTAGGTTATGGTCCGGTAAGCGAAAACTGAGGCTTGGCGAGGCTCATCACTACCGACTCTTTTGTTAAGCTTGGAACCATCTGTATATAGGCATCGACCCTAGGTTTAAGTCAGTGGCTGCTAACTATTCGTTCATCTCTGGGATTATTATGGAGATCTTGTTGTCTAAACAGAGTAGAGGAGTGGGATAATCTAACTGTCGAAGATTATCCGGTAGAGTTTCAAGTACTTTTGAATACATGGACATCTGACTAGGTGACTAGAACCAAAATTGACCAAAATTGATTCCACTCTACTCGGAAAAAGTATTCAGATCCATTAAAAGATAGTCCAGAAAAGATAACGAAAAAAATTTGTTTTGATCTACAATATAATTCAAACCTGTAGCTCGTTTCTGTAACAATTCTCTACCAAAGCGAATTGAGATATGAATTCGCCGCCTTGTTCTCTACTGCTAATGACTATTAGAGAATGACTTATATTCTCTACCAGTAGAGAAATAATCGGTAGAGAAGAGTTACAGAAACTGGCTACTGGTTCCATTTGAATCATATCCGTCTCGGTCTCTATAGGACTGTAGGATATTTTGCATCAGTTTTCATCGCAGATATTGCCTTAAAATATGCCACAAAGTTTTCTCAATAACATTTTTCATGCACAGTGGGAAAAATGGCCAATCTGGCGGCGCTTTGTTAATAACTTGAAAAAATTAAAAAAATTTAGGTGTAATATTTTTTTTTTGTATTTGTATGTTTTGAGGGATCAATTATATTAGAAAATACATTATTTTGGACTGCCAGAAACTATTCTGTTGGTACTGGTTTACTGTGTCAAACTAAAAACGGGAGCGTTTTGACTCTCACATTGTACCTAAAAAACGTAAAATATCAAACAATTGCAAAAACCTGCGCCTAATTCTTCAACTTGACATAGACAACAGATTCTTGACATANTTGCAAAAACCTGCGCCTAATTCTTCAACTTGACATAGACAACAGATTCTCGACATAGACAGCGAATTCTGCCGAATCCACCCAACTTTTATTCCACAGAACATACATGCTAAACACTACGACTAAGCACTAAAAGGCCACAAACATATTTTTAACACCGCGAAAATAATTAAGCATATGCTAAAGGCAAAGAAATTTGGCGGAATTCGAAAATTTAAACTTTTACTAAAACGTCGCCAATTTGACCATTTCTCCCACTGTGCGCTGTCTTCATCTGAATCCCGCTCAATCAATCTCCAAATAGTTCAATCGAACAGTGACTACCAGAAGTATGTTTCATTGATTTTCTTCGATATTCGAAATGTTTTTCGCGGTACATTTTTTCGTTATCAGCTATACATACATACAAGGCCATATTTAGGAGGGGCGGGGGGTTATAGGGGTTCTGAAATACTTTTAAAGAGCGAAGTACGCCGGGTATTTGATAGTTTTTGTTTTTTATAAAAATATAGCTTATTCTACAACAAAACCTATGTAAATCAATACTTCAAACTTTTACAGAAAATTAAAGGAAGTTTCATCAAAATTTCAATAATTTTAACTTTATTTCGTATGGGCCGAAAACAGACATATAGCCGATTTGGCAGACCATTTGCACGACTAAAGATCTATGGTGATGGCAATCAATCGATATACCGCTTTTTCGTTTTAATCGATAATGTGTTTTCATTTATTTTGCGGCACTTGTCATTTCTCAATTATGAATGGAGTAAAAAAAAAATCTCTTCTGACAAAGTGGACCAAAATGGGAAACGAATCTACCAATTCAGAAAACTATTCTATCAGATTTGCTATAATACAGAGAAAACGGCAACACTGCCGTTGATGCATATGTATGTACGCTTCATTGATTGCAGTTCTTTCGCACTTAGAGAGCGTTGCAAAAGCACACGCTCACCAAATGTTCGCTAGTTCACCACACTTGGCAATCAGAAACTCCTGTTGAACACAATGAATGCGGGAGCGCTATCTGATCGCACGATTTCAAGCTTTTGTAAAACTGTAAAATACGCCACCTTTGTGGTTGCGGTTGATTGGCGCTCTTCGATTGCTGTTTGCATTGGAGTTGTTGGTTGCGCTTGCGCACAATGCCTACTTTGCTTACGCTCGCTCACTAATCTCTTTTATTAGGCTTTGTTGCTGCATATTCGTACCCCAATTGGCATGCAACATACTCGTAGCATTAAGAAGCTTTTATTTGCTGTGCTAAGCTGAGCTGTTGTTGAACTTGTTTACTCTGCAACAGGCGACCTTACCTCTTACACCACCAACGCCACTTTTGTCTGCGCAAATACCTAGTTAGTGGTTTGTGATCTTTGGGATTGTGGTGGCTGGTATAAAAAGGCCAAAACCACTTTGCGGCGGCTCAGTTCAAATACGCGCTTAACACAAATAAAGGCAATACCAAACGGGGCATTGTCAATACCGATCGAGTAGGCTATTAAAAGAAATAGTAATAGTTTATTTTTATGCGCAGCACAAGAACGGTTTAGCGGGTAGGAGACGCAACGTACAAAAGGCGTGGTGGGTGGCTTTCAAGATTTGTTGAAGCATCAGCATCAGCTAAAAGCGTTTACGCAGCGATTTGGAAGATAAAATATTATTTAAGTTAAAAAAACTGAGCGAAAATTTTTTTGCAAAAATCACCGACAAATAAGTGCTGATATATTTCTAACGACTCAACACAAACAATTGTGCAGCGATGAATGTGGTAGGTAACAAAAGAAATATGTAATAAACGTGTAGCAAGACTAAGCATATGCAGCAAGATAAATGAAGATAATAAAGTCATAGAACTCGGCGTCAGTGCTGCAGTTTGTCTTAGCGAGAGCTCGACTGTTGATTATTGCAATGCATATAACTTAATTCAAACAGATATATCTCAAGCCATAGATTTTGGTAAGGCCAAAGGTGAATTCGCATGCAATTTTCAGACAGATGTGTGTGCAGATTATTATCCAGTAAAGTGAATTGTTTGTATTGTTGAACTATAAAACTTTGAACTTTGTACTGAACTGAAACTTTTTTGCTGTCTTAAGCAACATTGTTCAGCAGTCGGCTGGAGAATTGATGAAACGCAGTTGTTCTGAAATTCTGGATATTATATAGGCAGACAATTTTTCGTTTTTCTCAGAACAGGTCTTAACACAATTAAAGTTGATTAAAATGCACATATTTATACCACTAAAAGGTGTTTCTGGAGGCCATTGGGTACGAGGGATTTGAAACTGCAACTCGATTTTACCAAAAACCGCCGCTGGGTGCGCTTTGGTGAAAAGAAGCACAACGAAACATTGTTTGAAATTTTCCTTCATATTTCTACCCTACTGTTGCATCATCGCATACCCCAGCGTCCTTTTTTGGGTAAAAATAAATAGCAAATTCGAATTCCACGGTCCTCAAGGCCCCAAAAATGGCCTTTTGTATATAAATTACTTATAATTGTTGTAAATCTCGTGCTGCGTCCACCAACTTTAACTTGAAAAAAGCTAAATATTACAAACCTGGGAAATCTAAGAAATTGCTTTTCTATATACAATCCAGACTTTCAGAAAAACTTGTTTTAATCNGTAAAAATAAATAGCAAATTCGAATTCCACGGTCCTCAAGGCCCCAAAAATGGCCTTTTGTATATAAATTACTTATAATTGTAGTAAATCTCGTGCTGCGTCCACCAACTTTAACTTGAAAAAAGCTAAATATCACAAACCTGGGAAATCTAAGAAATTGCTTTTCTATATACAATCCAGACTTTCAGAAAAACTTGTTTTAATAATTTTTCTAGAAAACAAATGAAGATGTTGTACAGTGAAATGATACGCTAACTCATAGGAAACGTGTCAACCTTTTTTGTTGCTGTTTTTAAGCAAGGATGTATATAAGTGCTCCAATCATCAATGATTTCTAAAAATAAGGAAGGAGTTGAGGCTCAAAAGAATCGATTACGTCCAATAAGGTGTACCCTAAAGGGGGAGAGCTTCGCTTCCTCTCAATGGCCATGGCTTTGAAACGAAAGGCTACACAGATAACATGGTGACTTGCGTAACTGTTCGGCATGACGAAACTATCTCCAATTACATGTTCTAGCTGTTGTTGCAGCGCCTACTCAGCGCCGGCCAGATAGGCTTTTCCCTCAATCCTCGTCGACAAGCTCAACTAATGAGAGACGCAGAAGTACTCCTGTGGGGGAAATCTTTAGTTCTGAACTGGTGCGTTTCTAGTACATTTAGACCCAGTACTGGTTCGCGATAAATCTCTTTTGAACCAGTTCTAAAATTGACAATCTTTTTGATTCTTCCGTGTGTGCGATTTTAAGTTGTTTTGGAAGAAATGTGTGTTTCAATTTGAAATTAAATTTGTTTGAATGATTTTAAGAAATGTACGTTTACATACCTTTAGCTGTAGCTGAGTTTGCAGAGGTGATCGCTGTTATTTCTAGATTCCAGACGGTCCCAAAATGTTGAAATGTTAACACAAATTTTAGTTTTGTATTACCAAGCTATGAAAAGGCATCTGCGAAGCACAGAGTAGAAGCTTATTTGAACGAAAAAGCCATCGAACACATATCTATGTAAAGTAAACAAGCCCCTCGCTGCATCCCTTTTTCAGTAGTTTCGAACTACTTCAAAATCCGCCAGATGAGATCTAGTTCGTTCTGCATCCCTTTTTCTATAGTTTTGAACCAGTTCTAAATTCGTCACTTTAGATATAGATTTCTAGTAAAAAAACTGAAAAGATTAGTTTTTTAAAAGTACCACCTTTCGAAGATTTTGGGCTAGTGGGGATCTAGTTCCTATCGGACTAATTCCTTTTTGGCGATAAAGACCCAGTACGGAACTAGAAATTTGATGCACTAGTCCGCGGTTTCACTGCTGGGACGCTACTCCAACTAGGTTGGTCCATAAGGATAGGAGCGTTAGTAGAGTGGGGTTTAGGGGGCATGTGAAGAGCTGCTGCGAGTCATGCGGTAACACTCCACATCTCGGGCACTCGTTTAGCACAGTTTGTCTAGTCCACGTCAGGTGACTGTGTTCCCACGACGCCATTCACAGGTCGGGAGGCGATGTAAATCGAGACCGAATCACTGTGAATGCCGTTTATGGGCTGTCGGTACGCTGTCGGGCACAGAGGTTGTTTTATGAGATGTCTTCTGACATGCCTAGGCGAGGACTATTCGGCAAGCTGGTGTCTTTTCGGGTGCCATGTCCGTAGCACGCTATTAGAAATTGCTTACGGAGTGCTGTGTTTTGGCAAGTCTGTAGTTTCATCGACTGCGTTGTGCTAGTCCCCGGCGACCACACGGGTGCTGCACAGTTTAGAACCGGCCAGCAACGTTTCTGCGTCTTTGTCTAGGTGCTGCTGGCTGCCGACTTTGCCTACGAGGAATTTGTTGCGGCTCTATACTCTATTGACAATTGCGGTTGTATGTGCAAAGGAAGAGAGCAGACTATTGAAGGTAACCGCGAGTATTTTAGAGTTATTCACCATTGGAGTTGGCACGCTATAGACGTGAATTCCCACTTGTAATCTGACCTCCTCGCAGTTAAGAAGCGATAAAGTTCGGGGCGATAACCGTTTACTTTCGAGCACAAGTCCTCAATTCCATTCTCAAACGCCTTTATCGAGCAGTCGTCGGCATAAGAGATAACAGAGACTACGTACGGTGGCTGAAGGAGCTTTGAGATGGCGGATCCAATATGGCTCGTGGATTTAAAAAAGAATCAGACTTTTACGATATTTTATATCCCGAAATTCGTATGCTCAATTCCACTTGGCATTAAATGGCAAAAATTGAAAAGTCAAAGTTGGGCATTAAAAAATATTCTTGTCATTACGTTAAAAAAAAGTTTTTAAATTAAAATTTATGTTTTAACATTGTTTTTGGGGTCGCTACTTACGGATTGATAAATTTTGACGCAATTTGGTTTCAGAAAGGTAGAGTAAATATATAAACTTAAACAAAAAATTAATCACACATTTTGAACTTTCCAATATTGATTTTAGTTTTGTAATTATCCGCCACTGCGTCTGCCATATTGGATCCGCCATTTTTAATTTTTGACAACTGTCTCCAGTTTTGTAATCAGCGACTTAAAGAGCCATTGGATATAAAATTTTATAAAATTCCGGAAAATTTTGTTAAAAATCCATGCGGCTTATTGGATCCGTGATTTTGAATTTTTTCAGTTTTACAATCAGAAACTACAAAAACTCTTGCAACGATGTTGAATAAAGTTTAAAAAATTACAAGCCAATATTCTATTCACGGATGCAAATATGAGTACTTTTTTTTCTCTACTTTCTGAAAACACTCGATTTTTCTGGCTGCAAAATTTTTTTATTTTTTTTTTTTTTGGACGGTGGTCTGTTGCCTGAGTGTTTGGAAAAATTTGTTTCCGGTATTTCCGGTTACCCACAATTCCATTTAGGGTCTTCAATGAAGTTAATTGGTACAAAGCAACACTTCAGAGCAATAATGAAGTTTAAGCGTGAGATAATGAAATATATTCGGCTTCGTCCACAATTATTTTGGAAAAACAGCAAATATTACATACATCTGTAATATGACAATTTTATCAANAATTGGTACAAAGCAACACTTCAGAGCAATAATGAAGTTTAAGCGTGAGATAATGAAATATATTCGGCTTCGTCCACAATTATTGTGGAAAAACAGCAAATATTACATACATCTGTAATATGACAATTTTATCAANTGTTTCCGGTATTTCCGGTTACCCACAATTCCATTTAGGGTCTTCAATGAAGTTAATTGGTACAAAGCAACACTTCAGAGCAATAATGAAGTTTAAGCGTGAGATAATGAAATATATTCGGCTTCGTCCACAATTATTGTGGAAAAACAGCAAATATTACATACATCTGTAATATGACAATTTTATCAATGATTTGCTTATTAATACAAACGTTTTTTCATATACGAGCTATATGCATGTATAAATATGTATGTAGCCATGTAAATATAAAGTATCTGTATTCAGAAGGAAACGTGCATCACGTTGCATCAATGTGCTTGCAATGCTCTCATGTGATAATCTACGCAAGTTACGACATGTATGTACATTTGTATGTGTGTGTACATCCATAAATATAAAGAAACGTGTAAACACTAGTTACTTTTATTACAACACTTTTCAGCACTAAAGTAATTTTTTTTTGTTACTACCATAAAGTCATTGCTTATTGTCTCCCATCAGCACTGAGCCCAAGCTATAATTTTCTATGCAAATTTGCAAAGTGCCAAGCTAATTCAATATGCGCTCACAGAGTTGTAAATATGTTGTGTATACATATGTACTTGTACATACATATCTACCTGTAAATGATGAACATATGTATGTACATACATATATATATATACTACATAATTAGATACTGTGCTTAACTTGGCTTACTGCCAACATACTTACATGCACATACATACATACCGTATGTATAGTACTCGTATGCACAGGNGCACTGAGCCCAAGCTATAATTTTCTATGGAAATTTGCAAAGTGCCAAGCTAATTCAATATGCGCTCACAGAGTTGTAAATATGTTGTGTATACATATGTACTTGTACATACATGTCTACCTGTAAATGATGAACATATGTATGTACATACATATATATATATACTACATAATTAGATACTGTGCTTAACTTGGCTTACATGCACATACATACATACCGTATGTATAGTACTCGTATGCACAGGAGTACCACTAAATACGAGTAATATCGCTGACCACGTACATAGTTGTGCATTATACTCTGGACCAAAATGCATTCCAGCCTTCCTATGTATGTACCTACGCTCGTAAATAGTTTAAATGCACTAACCTGTCATGGTATTTGCATATATTGCATGCTGCCAGCAGATTGTGTCTCAGCTGAGATTGAGACTAAATACATACATGCATACCACTAAGTTGATTGCTACAGTTTTTCACCTAATTTGTAAAACCGGAATACTTGCTTTGTAACTACATTCATACATATTTAATACATTGTAAAATTCAGAAGCGAAATGGTTGCTGTTCTGTAGACTGCATGCAATTTATGTACATTAGGGAGAGTCATTAAAAATTTTCGATTTCTTCCGTGGCATAACAAGATTTCCAATAGTGTAATTTAAACGTTTATATATTGAAAAATTTATGAAAACGTCAATTTATAAAGCTCTTTAAATCCACTTTATTTTTTTTTAAGGCCACAAGACTTCCATCAAAATATTTCGAAAAAATATTAATATTTACGTGAGCTGAAACGATTTGAAAATAATTCCAATCATCTTATTATTTTTGATTCCCTTGATAAAATTTTTTAAGCATTTTTATGCAGAAATTTAAGCTCAAACTATTCTATTAGCTGAGGTGATTTTTTAGAAAAAGTAGTTTTAGAAACAGTATAAAAATCCGCTTTTCGGAGGCATTTTCAATGAGGTCCAGCTCACGTAAATCTTAATATTTTTCTGAAATATTTTGTCAGAAGTTTTAAAAGGCTATACGTTTTATATTTCCGATGTAAAAAGAGTATAGTTTTCTTTTTTTTTTGCATGTTGTGTGTTGCACCCTAATGTGCATATGTACTTATCTACTTGGTCGTCTACTGCAGTGGTATGTATGTATATGTAAATGGTTCATTGGATCTGTTGCTTACCAAATATGTAGCAGACAGAAGTGGCATTGATCACAGCTGGTTTGCCGTTGAATTGAGGGAATGTGAAACCAATAAACATTTGCATCAATTTAGTGAGACTTAATGCATTTAGAAAAGCGCTCACTTCAAAATGCCAATAATTTCTTCTCAAGTTACAAGTTAATGAATAATATGCTGTAATTGCGTTGGTAGCATCTATGTACCTACATATGAACATACATATAGTACTTATCATAACTATATGACACCCGCATATTGACAAGTTCTGACTAGGGGACTAGGCGATTCCAGTCCAATGCCTATTTTGCCATACCGTCGTCCTCTTTGTGTAAAGTGAGGCCTATTACTTCCATTTCTGCCTTCTAATCCAGATGTCAAGGGTATCTTAGCTTTTTTAAGCAACAAATTCAGAGTGTCATTCTAAAACATCTATGTACAGAAACTTACAGGTGTTTGGTTATTGCAGTAGTGACTTTCCAGATAAAAACCGGCATCATAAAGACAATGCACCAAAAGACATATGTCGTCAGCATAGTCAATATGGTGCAGTGAACTGGACCGGTATCAACGAAGTCCGCCGTCGGGAAGTGGCCTCATGGCAGCATCCAACACCTCCCCAGTCTCTTAAGGTAAGCGAAGAGGTGAGAGTACGCAACCTTGTCGAAATTGAATGCCAGCCTTGCCGTCCCACACTAGTAATGGAGTCCGCCCATAGAGGGCTCTTCCGCCAAAAGACCTTTGACTCGAGTACCCCAGCACGCCTCGAAGGACCCTGCATGTTATTCTCGTCTGCCGAATCCGTCATAATACTTGCGTCACGTATCGCGCACCTTTTTTATCAGTAATTTCCTCTGGTTTCTACACACTGCTTCCCCACACTCGACGGACACAACGTCGTTCACGAGAGAAAAATGTATTGTATAGCATCTGGGGAATACAATTTTTTTCTGTATTGGATCTTATTCTTATTCTTAGTATACTTCATAGTATACAAGTAGTTTGGACCTCCGAACGAGTAAAAACAAAAGACTTAAGAAACGAACTTAATTATTTTTTTTATTTTTATTTACAATAAAAAACATCTGAATTGTATTTTATTAGGATAAAATTTTACGCTGTTATGTATGCATGTTGAGCAGTGTTGCCACAAAGATTTTTAATTTTTTACCAAACCTCTAAAATAAAAGTAAGTGCGCCTGGGCCACACTGGAGAAGCGAAACTTACGTTACACATCTATTTTGTCTCATAACCAATATATGTACATACATACGTACATACGTACATATGTGCGATAATCCCATTAAAGTTTTGTATAAATGCTNAATACATACGTACATATGTGCGATAATCCCATTAAAGTTTTGTATAAATGCTTATGTACATAAGTTAGACTGACATAAATTATTCCTGGTCAAATGAATGACCTTGACCTTGATTTTCCAGTTGCTGGTTTCTAATTTAACTACGTACATATGTATGTAAGTTACAGCAGCTTTCGTGTTTCATGCCAATGTTTAAATTTTAAATGACCTTTCGAATTTGATTAGTAAATCGAGTAATATGTCCTTTCGAGTTGTATTTGATTAATAAACCGGGCACTATGGCAAATAATTTTAGCTTCCTAAGCGTAACTAAAAAGAGGCTTTCACGTTGAAGTGGCCGAGAGACAACAATTTAATAAGCATCATCTAGGAAAAAAATTAAGTGATGCTAGTCACGAAATTAGCTGTCCAGTGAATCACCTAGACAAAATATTTTCTTAGTAACAAGGGGTATTTAACAAGAAATCTCTCTGCAATTGCTATTCGAAGTGATATAAGTTTTTGTAAAAATGGTAGCTTATAAAAAGGGCACTGCACCACGCCTGTTAATTAAATCAGTTAACAGTTCTTCCTAATGTAACTGAGGAATCAAGTTTTAGTCAGCTTCTGTTCAAAGTCTATAATCGCGTTGTTAAGACCGGATCACCAAATATAATTTAGGAACTGCAGTACAAAAAGTAATTGAGAATCAAATGTGCAGCTTGGCAGCAATAGGCGGCATCCTTATCAGACTATGATGAACCAGTTATGATCCCATTTATCTTGAAATGTAAGTTGAAACCTCAGTAACCTCAAGTCTGGCTGTAAAGCTTCTCATAAAATCCATTTGCAGTTCGGCGGCGGCATAAAATTGTAGTTCCCTCCATTTGTACTATAACATTAGGACGCATAACACAAATTGGAGGAAAAGCTCGGCCAAATGCTTATCAAAACTATAATCGCTAATATATTTTTCTTATTACTCCAATTATTTTCGTTCGGTTTTTATTAACGAGGTGTCAAAATAAAGAGAAATGCCAATCTGTAATATGGTTTTACTTTTTTTCAAAAAAGTTTATTTCGATATTATCGACTTATTATTATAGATTTTGCCTTCACTTCACAATACTTTGTAATGTAGGTAATTCTTATTTACTGAACTGCATTACCATCATAGCCAAACTGTAGATAGAGCGTGTGATCTAAAAATAAGCAATAAAATTAAAACACGTACATACACGCATGCTTGTGAATAATATTTAACAAAATTAAATTATGTTTAAGAGAAGTTTTGTTGTTTTAAGATCACCTTCAGTGCAGTGTTCACCGATAGTGGCTCAACTCCAGCGATAGTTATAATGCGTGGAACTTGGGATTTAGTGAGCATTAGCAGTACGGTCTTCTGATCGGCAACCTCCAAATCATACCATTGAATGTCGTAAATTCCGTCACAAAATTGATCATTCTTAAAAAAAAAATATATATTGCCTAACGGTGGTGTACTTTTTTTGTAATATTTAAATACTTACGCATATTTCAACACGCGTGCCCAATATTGAATACATATATAACCAAACAAAGCAAACAAATATATAAGCGTAAGCACTGGGCCAGTACTTTAGCATGATGATCAGCAAGGTGCTCAAGATGCCCATTGTCGTGCAGACGATGTGCGATGTGATGGTCCAAAAGAAAATGAGATTGCAATTATCATTGAACCTAAATATTTGCACAACATTTTTTAATAAACAAGTCAATTCTGTATACATATATCGAGCCATAAGAGCATCTAGATGCATTTCTTCATCAAAAATAACAGTTTGAAAAAAAAAATCGGTTACAACTCTTTGGCGGTTAGGACCCGATATGTGTGTGTATTAGGGCGGGTCAATTTGTGTGGGAAATTTTTCCGACTATGCGCGTATAGCACGGAAGGATTCTACCTGTAATTCTAAGCAAATTTGCCGAAGAAACCATGGACCTAAAATCAATTTGGAGTTTGCCAAATTACGAAAATAGGTTTCTTAGCATTCTGCTGTAATATCGTAAAGAGGTGCTTAAATTTTATACAAGAACATGCTATATGGAGTTTTTTGGTATGACGAATCCATTTATGCACTTATCTTTTTCTTAAAACTTCCACCAGGGGAAATAACAGTGACAATATTCACATTTTCTTCGAAACCTATTTTCGCAATTTAGCAAACTCCAAATTAATTTTAGAGCCATGGAATAGAGTCCTCATATGTTATACGCGCTTCGCCGAAAAAAAAACTACCCGCCCTAGTATGTATATCTCAGGGCTTACTCCAAGTAATACTGATGCCATTCTGCAATATCATTCAGCGTAGGTGTTATTCGTTTATCCTTTGAGTTCTGTTGTAGCAATTCATGCAGATCACTCACTTTCAATTCGAAGATATCATAAAAGAAAATCGAGTGTGTTAGAAAGAGAAAAATATACAAGTCAGCGGCGTACAATCCAAATGCCGCTATGAATACACATAAAATATTGTAGATGATCGTAATAAAATAGCCCTGGTTAGTGGTCGCATCTACATATGGCATTTGACACATAATAATTAGGTGTTTTTCGCCTTTTAATATGTACACAATAACGGGTGCGATTAAAGCTAGGCAAGAAGATGCAAAGTATATCAAAGCACCAATGATTAATATCTTTCTCATGCTGCCATTCCACTCTTCTAATTTTTTCTTATATTTTCTTCCAATTTTTTCGTACTTCTCGTATATTTCACCGATTTCCAAAGCCAACTGTCGATACAATTCCGAATATCTTGTTATTGAATATAGCTTTATTGCCCCTTGTGTTGCACAGCTGATTGGTGCGAATACATCCAAAAGCACTGTCCAATCTGTAGCAATATCTTTGTACACCATATTCATAGAGCACAAAAAGTTCCAAGCAATTGCTATTGCCACAAAAGCTGTTACCACATTAAATTTATAATTCGGGTTGACAACATCTACTCCAATCAAGCGAGAACAAAAGCGAATGATGGTAAGCACTTTATTATAGTTTTCCAAAGGGCGCGCTTGAGCTTGCATTTTGGAAACTAATTTCACCAAGCTGCACTAGGAAATGAAGTATGCGAGTAATCTGGCTGGCGCCATATCTGCTTATTTAGTTACTCAAAAACGTGTTGACTTATTAGTTATATCGCTATAATCAAGGACGTATGTAGTACAGATATTTGAACGTTTGGTCATAGCATTGGCAACTCTCTCACGCTTGTCCATAGGTGTCAATCTTTTTCGATAAGTTAATAGAATCATTTACGCTAACGGTTCGCTGCAATTACGTAGTTGGGGAATTTGCGTTTTAATTGTTTACGGGCGGAAAATGTCTTGAGAGGGACACGTATGCACCTACAATCATGCATGCGAAAGCGAATACAAACAAAGATAGATACGAAGTTGACCGATTTGATGTATGTAATCGTTTCAAATCGTACTACGTCCTTCCAATCCGAATTTTTTTCCATGCGAACGGCTACTTTCAATACCATTGGCGGCAGGGAAAGACAAAATCAAAGGCAAGGACAAGAATAAAGATAAAGATAAACGTGCAATCTCCAACAGCACTAACACTCTATATCCACGTTAGGTTGGCTGTCTTCATCCAAGTTCCGGTGGGATTTTTATACCTTTACTATTCAAATNGCCATTGGGGGAGGGAAAGACAAAATCAAAGGCAAGGACAAGAATAAAGATAAAGATAAACGTGCAATCTCCAACAGCACTAACACTCTATATCCACGTTAGGTTGGCTGTCTTCATCCAAGTTCCGGTGGGATTTTTATACCTTTACTATTCAAATGTGTGTACAATAGGGTGGCCCAAATTTTTTTTCTCCAGCCACCCCTACATCTAAAGAATATCAAAAAAAGTTAGACAGGTATTTTACAACGCTTTTATCAACTTGCAATGTTGTGTGTTCGGACACCATTTATAGCTATAAAACCTGTGCTTTTCAAAGATCCTATAAAAAAAGTTTGGAAATGAACCTCGCCGGAAGGTATCATATCAAAGACTCTAGAGGTAGGTGTCGCCTCACTGCAAACAGTTAGATATTGCGCCTAAAAATATGCACTACATACGCTACAGCGGGAATGGACAGACGCCATTTCTTCAAATGAAATTTATTGGTGCTCGTATGTATGTGCACCAATTTATTAATATCGTTAAATTATTGTAATAAATTTTATACTGACGAGAGTAAAAAGTATAAAATAAATAAAATAAAATAAAACTTTTTAATATACCACGCTTTTATAAATGGACTAAAAAAAGAAAATAATATTACTCAGTCCCATAAAATTTGTTTTGATAACTTTTGATTTTGAAATTTTAGCAAAAGTCATTATAAAAAATTTATGTGATTGAAAATGAAAAGCGTGGGGCTTGAAGATTGGGGAAAAAAATTCGGATACTCTTAAAGATTTCATCAAGATGTCTGGTTTGCAGGGTATAGACATTGTTGCTAAGCAACTTTGACACAACTTTATCTCTTTTATCCATACCGTGACTGATGATATTATAAACCAAAAACAGAAATATAGCCGATTTAGCAGCGCATGTGCCCGACTGAAGACCTATCCGGATCCAAATCCATCAATAAACCGCCTTTTAATCCCATTTGACAATGTGTTTCCCTTATTTGACGACTGGGAGCAGGTACTGTTATAAAATCGATGGTAAAAAGAAAAGTGATAATAAATGAACATTTTCAAAAAATTTTGCAATTTCTGAGGATATTTTTCGCATGCTTTTATCAATTTTAACAGGACAATGATCAGAAACATTCTCCGAAACTCTAGCTAAATAGGTATAAATCCCAAGTTATTATAATCATGGAGTAAATCTGCGTAAAGCCCAGATTTGAGTCCGACAGAAAACTTATGGAAGTGTTTGAAAAAGCCACTGTTCAATTGCGAAAATTCGCCCAATCGCATACAAGACTTCCGGCATGGCGTTGAGGAAAACCTGTGCGCAATCTCCACAGATTTCGTCTCAAAACTGTGCGAAAGTATCCCAAGATGACCATAAAATTTGAAATATTCAAATTGGTTATGGCCAAATATTTAAAAGTCAAGCAAATGGTAAAATTTTCTAGCGGGTGTAAAACTGGAACAATCCAGTTGCTACGTTTTTTTCAAATTTCTTCTTTATCTGCTTGTATTAATTATTGTTTTTATGGTCTCCTGATGAAATAAACATTGGAAATGTGAAATCCGAAGCTAGATTAAAAAAAATAGTATTTTTATATTGCGAATATATCGCAAGAAAATTCACCTTATGTATTACTGTTCCGGTTTTGCTCCTCAGTGTAACTGAACTATTAGTGTACATTCATAGAGTGAGATATGCATTTTTGCACTTTAGCTTACATGAAAAAAAGTTTTTTTTCTCCACATACTTATTTTGTTTACACCACACTGTCCAGTTTTAATTGCATGGCTTGGCCACTGACCAACTTCAAGTATTTGTTCAGTAGACAAACGTGGCTTGCTAGTTGTTTAATAACCAAGGCCTCTGCTGTAATACTATTGTATGCTGACTATTACTGACCTGAAAAATAGTTCTCCAACTGAGCTCCGGCAATTGCCGGATAAGTGAAAGGTATCGCCAAACGTACGTGTACATAGGTATGTACGTGTTGGTAAAAAACACGTAAGCACGTACATATATATTTACCAAAATGCAAGGAAATAAAAAAATTTCGACCGTTTGCCGGTAGAACATTATAATCGCCTTCTTTTATGTTGTATAAAAAATTCGTGGCGATTGTTAAGGTAAGGAGCTAAATTAAGATTTGATGACAGCTTCGGTCTCCGATATTTTTTTAAATATCTTCAGTTGAATATTCTGTTAAAATGGAAAAATCTGACGGACAAATTAAATCGCTTATTAAGTTATGACCTTCTGCCAGTAAACGGGTGAAATCTACATACATACATAAGTACTTACACTGAAGCTTAATGAAAATTCTTTATTTAATAGAAAATATGTTTACAAAAGTAAAATAAAATTAGCCACAAGAAGTTTTGCTATGCTTATGTGTCATAAAAGTGCATAATTTTTGCAGCTTCCTAGTCGGAAAGTCGGGAAAGTAGTAATGCATTACATGCGTGATAAATAAAAAATGTATTTCTTATGAGCTCTCCATTATATTACTGCTAACTATATAATCAGCACTCTACTGATGTATTCAAAAAGTTCCAAAAATTTCATATTAAAACACATTAATTTTTCGGTACTAGGTAATGCAAAATTGAATGCTCTATTTTTCTTAGGAAATAAGTTTCGAATGTGAAAAGGGTTGTTTTACTGATTATTTTTTTCGATTACTATACATTACATTTTCCCACTGGGTTGTTATTGCACTGTTGTGCGCCAACTAGTTTCAAAAGCCAGTTTACTTGCTATCTGCATAGATACATACATATCAGATAAATGAAGGTAATTGAGCATCTATTCAAATGTGCATTTTGTAAAAGTATGAGTCATTGATTTTCAATTATCAGCAATTACCTTTAATATGTATATGCATACATACATTTGTATAAGAAATACAAGAAGGTGTCACATATGTTGGTGTGTTGCGAACGATTGCGAGGGAAGTTTATGTAAGTAAATAAAGAAACGTTTTGCATGTATTAGTAACAAATTTTCCTTTTATATAAGCTTCTATGATTATCTTGTATAGTGGTGACCCAGCATGGCGTTAAAAGGCCAAAATTGAATTTCAAATTTCTTCAAAAACCGAAAAAAATAGTTCAAATGTTAGACGGAGCTAAAAGCGATCAGTGTGCCTAATTTCATTTAAATCCGTTCAGCGCCTTCTGAGTGAAGAGAGATCTCGCATTGTAAAAATTGTTCTTTTCATCAAATTTCAAATCATCCTGTACTACTAAAATAGTTTCTAACAGTTATTGCGCATCTACAGACCAAACTCTTTAATCTGACATCTTATTTCAGCAATTCGAAAGATCTGATGACCTGCACAAAAAATGCCTGCGCCTATTAAATATATACATAATAAGATACCCCGCAGAAAAAAAATTATCAATTGACTAAAATAACCAACTTCTAGTTAGTTTTGTTGCACAAAAACAAAAACCAAATTGACTTAATAGTTTTCCAAATTTCTCAAGAACGGAGGGAGGGAAAAGTTGACAACAAACACATATACATACATAAAAATTGTCTATGAAAAGAAATTATTTTATTTTTACACACAAATTTTTTGATAAAAAAAATTAGTTTTTGAAAATATGCCATCTCAAAAAAAATTTAAAAAATTCACAGTGATAGCTCTAAGTATTGCGCAATATACATATGTAACGGGTGATTTTTTTGAGGTTAGGATTTTCATGCATTAGTATTTGACAGATCACGTGGGATTTCAGACATGGTGTCAAAGAGAAAGATGCTCAGTATGCTTTGACATTTCATCATGAATAGACTTACTAACGAGCAACGCTTGNGGGCATTTTCTTCCATAAGTGTTACGTCGGGTGCAAAATCAAAAACCGTACTTTCAGTGTGTTGAAAA